TAAACGTCGTTTCTATTTATATCTATACAGTTTCATGCAGAAAAAGCTAAAAATATTCATGTGGGACTATGAGGGGGGGTAGGGGCAGGGGGGAGGGGGTGAATTCTGCAAATGCTAGTTTAAACACCTTTCGTAATTTACTGACAGTATTAATAGAGTGAGTGCTGAAAAAAGCTAAGAATAATTACACTCATACGAGCGCAAGTTTACAGCCAATGTTTTTCCCCAAAAATTAGCATTTGTTTATTTTTGTCAACTATACTGTAGTCAGTTTAAAATTAATCTAAGCCAAGCCATGTCTCCCAAAGAGTGTAGGTATAACATAAAGACGCATTTCATTAGCAGTTTGAAGTGAAAAATGTGGTTATTTATTAAAGCTCTCATTATTTTTACTGTTTACTGGGGCCTCGAAGTTAAAGAACCAGTGATTCTCTATATCCTCCAGCGTAGCAACAATCGATGCCAAACTTTTTGACAACCGGAGATCCACATATTTAAAAAATTGACACGCAATTTGGCAAACATCTCAGATAATTTAGCTTTCTGTAGCGGAAATAGCATAAAATTTGAAAATAAACGATCCTTCTACCCGTTGAAGACAGAAGCATCATAAAGTGTTGGCCAATTGTGCCATACAACGTGCAAGGAAAATATGTGTAATTTGTGATAGGCTTTAAAAATCTGATTAACTGATATTAGAGCTTTAAAAAAAATATAATTATTTATTTCAAGGATTTAATATATCTTGATTAACATATATAAAAATCAAGTATTTGGATATCTCATCTGCTCCTCTTTTAGGCAAGCAATTATAGTATAAACAAATTTTCTGGACAATTTTATTTTATTCACTATGATACTTCTAATAGGCTTCCTTGGGTAGAATGAAACATTTTATTCCAATAAATATTTATGAAAATCAGGCTCAAATTCTTCATTCTTACTTATTAGTATTATTATTATAATTGCAAGGATAACTGCATAGCAATCGAAACATTTGAAAATTTTAAGTATATTCAGTCATTTATTGATATCAAATGGCGGCCGTTTTGGTAGTTATCATTAGCCCTTTAGTTGACTTCGGGCTTCACAGAGAGGAGGAGGAACATCAAAGCGACAAAAGTGGAAGGTGGGGGGGGGGGGGCAGAAGAGTGTTTCAAAGATGTAAAAGAGACAGACACAAAGGTAGAAAAAAGGTGAGGTGAGTACAGTGTAAGTATTCGAATATGACATACAGCGGGGTGATGGTAGCTTGAAGTCAGAAGTCAACTGCCAGTTAAAAGACTTTCTTGTCGTATGAGGATACGTTGCCCAGGGAGCACCACGTGGAGGTAACTCTATCGCACACCCCACATTCAATCATTATATCTTGTATTGTTAAATTTAGTAACAGTCTAATTAAAAGTGAATCTCAAGTTTGCCACTAAGTTACAACTTAAAGAATTATACAAATCTACCTCTTCTGTTCTGTTTTAGAAGACTGATTCACAAACTCCGGCTAATGAATCCACAAAGAGCTCTATTAACTCAACAACGAACAAGGATGATAACCATTCAAATGACACCACTCTTGAAGAATTCTTTCTTGCAAAACCTGGTCGCGCCTTCCATTTGAAACAACAGCCCAGTGGTAAATATTTCCATTTCCAATCAATTATCGCTCTTCAAGATTTCCAATATTTGAATCATTTCGAATTGAGGTTGTCAAATTCTGAAATTTGAACTTGCAGGTCGAGCCATATTTAGGATAATATGCATCAATTTCAAATTTTGTTAAGCTTTTCACAAGTTATTGAAATTTATAGTTAGGAAAACGGTACCACAACGTCATAGAAAACTTTAATGTAACTAGTAGACAATGGCTCAATGTTTGTTAATATTCCTTTTTAAAACAATGACTTTCAGCTTTAAGCAGTTGCTATACAATTGTGCAATACAATGCCTTCCCCGGACACACTATTACTAATTTTTGATCCTAAAATTTTTGATTCTGCTAATCGTCTTGATTGAGAGCGTTAGAACGACTGATGGTCTGATAAATACGAATTCAAAAGGAGGACAATGCTCTAATGTTGATAATTTTAATAATTGAATGTTTTTAGTTATACTGAAGCTCCAGAAAGCATTTTCTGGAGTATCGGGTTGTTCTTGTCTCATTGGTTTCCACAAACTAAGGAAAGAGTAATATTTCTTTATAAATCGTTTTCACTTATTTCCTTCGAATTGTCAACCGAAAAAGGAAGTTCCTTATTTATGCTTTAATTGAGCTCACCATTTATAGGAAATACGTTAATGCGAGTGGTGTCCATGATCTATGCTCAGAAAGTAATTTATCATAAAATCTAAAATAATGCAAACAATTGAGCTGAAAAGAATACGGAATGGAGTACTTTTTCTGGCTTTTGAGGGGGGGGGGGTATATTCTGAAAATGAATGGTGTTTAAGCTTTGTTTTTGCTACATTCAATTTAGCTGAGACTTCCTCCTCGACACACAACGCAAAATCCCTACCAAAAGCAAGCTTTTCAACTTCTCCAGTGACAATTAAACGAATGGCAAGAAGCGCTCCTTCTCTATTAAAATGCAAGTCATGCGTCTTTATACGTAAGACTGTTTCCGTTTATGTCCTTGAGTCGACTTAAGTATCTGTTGCAAATGAGGAGACTGAGTAGATGAACTAACTTTACCTTGTTCACACTTATGTGAAATTCGCTAGACAGTATGCGTACAAATGATTGGAATCACGTCTGTAAGAATTTGGAAATGCCTGTTTGAAATGCCATTGCAAATGAGCGGTATAACGAGGCGAACAGAGGGCTGGTAAGGTAAGAACATGAATACGTGGCTAGTAATGTGCTATGTTGTCGTTTAAAATGTGGCTTATATTAGAAGCGTCCTCACTTTTGCAAAAGCCTGCATACCGACTCCAAGGATTGAAGCCTGCTCCTTCCGGTAAAATCAATGCTTATTTTCACCCAAGCATACTTTGCACATTTGAATGACAGTTATCTTTCATTAAGCTCATCGCCTGAGCAGTCACTACCAGAAAAATCGTTGATGATCCCTGAATTAACAAATGAAGTTCCCTTTAAATTTCATTATTCTATTTAGTAATGAATAGTAACATATCCAAAAAGTATAGTGGTATTGATTAATATGCAACAGTTATCAATAACATTCAACTTTGATAGATTTGTATCGTTTTATTCGTTTAGCTCGTTCAACCAGAAAATCTGAAACCGAAACAAAGTGTGTGGATCTATTTGAAGACGTGGGAACTTCCGAAGATGCTGATGATAGTGAATTCACAGTCAACCCCAAATCGATTTCGCCAATCCACCACTTAGAAGCTCCCGAAACTGAGAGTCTCTTTCCCGATTACTAAGTTCTTATATAATAAATTTCATTGTTTAAAAACACAGAGGATGGACAGGTTATTCTCTTCACTCTTTCTTCTTTTTTTAAACGACCTATTAATCTGGAATATATACTTCCTTCTGCCTCAAATTTACATAATACGCTATAAGTTTTAGCTAATTTCGAAGTGATCCTTGAAGATGGTCATTCTCCCTTGTACATGTTAATGTATGTAATTGTTATTTGAATCAATAGTAGAGAATGAACTCAAAATTGTGACTCCCTATTATGATAAAGTTCCTTGAAAGGAAATATAATAAAACATAAGACTCGAAATTTTCGTATTGGATGGTATAGTAGCATAAACGCTTTGAATTATGGCGAAATACTCAAAAATTGAATTACTTGCCTATCACATGCAATCAAGCTTGCATAACTATTGAAATAAGTTCCTTTATGGAATTAACCTAATCATGACAAATAATTATCACAATTTTCAATTTCGTTAAGGCTGTTATATTATCAAGATCTAATTCACGTTTTTCGTTTATTTGACAGACTGAATATTATATTTCGGGTCGACCAACATGGAAAAAAATAGATCAAGTCATTAAAGCCATAACTTTGCCATAGATAGAAAAGACCGATCAATAAAATATTATTTTTTACATTAAAAATTCTTCGTTAGGCATTAAGTACGTCTCTTTGTAGATATTTACATGCTTAAGTTTCAGGTCCTCTCGTGGTTGTCGTTGTCGATATTAAACGCTTCGATTGCCTAGTGTTGATTGGCATTGCTCATAGGAATTGGTCATACAAAGCACAAAGATAAAAGTATCAAGAAATCATTAAAAAGATGAAATTTTGCATAAAAACGATCAGAATAAACAGATTTGACATAATATTTTGCGGTACAAACTTATTGAAAATATTGGATGTAGTCAGCAGAAATTGAATTCTTTTTAATATCGAACAAGATAAAAATCATTTGAACATGACTACCAAAAATTAACATGCTGTATTTTCATTGCACTTTTATTGGTTTAAGCAACAGACTAAGAACATTTGAATAGAAAACATGTATAGTATTCAATGAAAAATACGACTAACCTATCATCATTTTTAAAAGATTTGTTAACGTCGTGCTGCATTATTAAATTCGAAAAATAATAAAATTAGACGATATTGAATAAAATTTTTTAAAGTATTAAGATTATTCATTTAGTTTTACTTTTCTCCAGCGGTAGTGGCATATTCGCGATTTATTGGCTGCTATTGTTATGCCAGATTCGGAGTCACTGATTATAGCTAGGCAAATTATTTCATTTTGTACTGAAGGAGATATCGGAGCCCTAAGAAACCATGTTGACTATTTGCGATGTAGGGGAGAAGAAATAATCGATCTCGTGAACACCGCTACTAGTTCTGGCCAAACTGCTTTAATCGCAGCCTGTCGAAATGGTAATAAAATTTTCGTCTACTTAATGTTCCCTGCTTAAGGCAAATATGACATCGTGCAGTATCTCATTGATGAATGTGAGGCGAATGTAGAACTTGTAAGCTTATTTAATTTTACTATCTTTTTAGTCTTAGTGTTATTAAAAATTGCTTTTACTTGTTACGATTCGTATGGCTCTATGTCTTTTTCTTTATTTTGTATTCCTATTAATCATTAAATTTTTATCAAAATTTAGGCTTAGACTTTGTTGTATTTTACTCTATGTAATAAGAGATGTTATTCGTGTTCCTTAAATATTACTGCATCATATTTTCAAGTTGCCTTTACTGCTTGATTGGCAACCATCTACCTGTACCGTTTTCGTTCATAATAATGTGCTATATCTGCTCTGATCTTTTACGGTGTTGGTTTATTTTCTCACTAAAAATATTACTTCGTTTATAGTTGTACCTCCACTGAATCTTTCTTTGGAGGCAAAGTTTTCGCCTGTAATTTGAGTTCTTTTGGCAGTTTTACCATCGAATTTCCCCTCAGGGTGTAGTTTTTGTATCCTTTCTATTCCGTTAAGATTTCTTTTTCAGTTAATATTTATATCAGACTTCATTTTTTATTTAAGGTCTCGCTCTTGGTTGACATTTCACGAAAATAGACACTTCGATTCCAGTTTTTGGTTAAGTAGTGGCTGAATGCATTATGTTTCGATTTTGATGCCGCATTTGCAAGGGGTCATGACAGTTTAGCTGCCGTTTTTTATTTTTACATTTCCGAAAATGATCAATTTTGATCTACTTTTTTAACACAGGTACTGTAACGTCTGCTGTGAAATCTGTTTGGATGAATCTTTGTTTCTTTTTTTCAATATTGTAAGACGGTTTGTTGGTGAATTAAAAATTTGTTTTTTTGCAAATAGTCCTGTATTTACATGTTCATTAATTATAAGAGTTCTTTCATGAATCTTATGACCTACATGCAAACATATTTTTAGGTCAATCCTTCCAATTTATTTTCCTTTCAAGGTCATATATCTTTGTACCCTGATGTCTTTGGTAGTAAGTACTTTCGTGGGTGTACGTTTTGATATCTACATCGGGCGCTTTAACAGAGTGCACCTTCGAATTTTTCCCACTGACTCATTGCAAATTTCAACTTTATGTTCATGAGGTCACGTCTGTAATTGGGATTTTGTACGTCTCATCACGATTTTGTCCTTAATGGTTTGCGGTCGTTTCAAATGATTGCTCTTACGTGGCAATATCAGATCGAGCTAATTTATATATTTTGAATCATCAGCTGTTGGACTAATATAGAAGAGCTCCTTATTCCATACGTATTTGAAAGGGTGTAAATTTGTATGAAATCTTAAATACTGTTTTAGTAAAGTTCTGAGATTAGATTTTTATTTGACAGGAGGAAGTGGATTTGGGTGATTAGTTTTTATCTTTCCACAGATGTTTGTCCTGAATTATGAAAAATTAAAATGTATTGGAACCTATGTTGATAGATTAGTTCTATCAAAGCGCTGGGGTTTCAATTCCTGGTTCATGTTGTCCTGGTATTAGTCAAAATGAATCATTTTCATAAAGGAACTTCATGTATTAGGTTCATGTTCTGTTTACCTTGACATTACATGTGTTTTTTATTTGGTATCAGAATCTTATAAGATATGTAGACCTTCCAATGTCACTGTCTATCTGAAATTGCTCTTTTAATTTTCCAAAGATCCTCTGAGTTATTTCCATGATAGAGTATTTTTGGGATTCATTCTTGTACATTTTAAGGGGTCACTTTAGTCTGCTTTTTCCTGGCCATAAAATGATATGACCCTTCTGAACGAGCGATTCTACTAGTGCCTTAACATTTAATTGGGCTTAGGACGCTTAAAAAACGTGTTGACTTTTTGTCATCTATTTCCTGTTTTGAGCTCATTTTTTCATTAATGCAATTACGCGATTGCTTTGCTGAGTATATTAAGCATAATTTTTCTTCCTTGAAAAGGTTGGAACGGTCCACTTTGACGGAGAGGCTGTGGAAGGCGTGACGCCGCTGTGGTGTGCAGCAGCAGCCAATTACTTGAACATCGTCCGATTTCTCGTCAAACGCGGGGCAAATGTGAACGCAACCACTGCTACAAATTCCACTGCTCTTCGGGCTGCCTGTTTTGATGGACATGAAGAGGTGCGTCTTAAAGTTTTTCCTTCTTGTGGTCTTGAATGTTCTTATCCTTTTCGTACTTAAATTTTCAATGGCTGTAGAAAGATAGCATAGCCGTTGTCGAACGTTTTATTTTGTTTTGTTTAATCCAATCTGAGCGTTTCTTCAACTTGGATTTCGTTCTTCCTTTAATTTAGAAGGCTAAGTAATATTTCATGAGGTTTTTAAAAATCCTCTTTAGTAAATTTTGAATTCAAATTTACTTGGTTTTCGCTGTTGACACCAGAAAATTTTCTTTATTGTAATCTTTTTTGCCTTAAGGTTATGATTTTACCAGAATGCGCCTCCAGAAAGGCAGTCATCTCTTTACTATTTCCTTTGACATATTTCTGCAAAATTTTCATTTTCTCTTAATATCTTCCCCTTTATTCAATAGCGCAATTTTTTAATTAGCCATAATTTATTTACTATTGATTGATCAGCGAATCGAAACCCATTCTGGAAATTCCAATCCATTTTTTAAATAGTTTGATTAAAAGTATCCTAAATTCCCTCCCTGACCTCTTCTAGTTCCCTTCAATTTTTTCCCCGTCCCGACCCCAATAACACTTGTTTTTTCCGTACTTAATATTTTTTATGTGTGAATTAAAAGCACTCACCTTTGCAGGTCAATTTCTTTTAAAAATCTTTTTGGATTTTGTTTAGTGTCAAACGGAGGAATATAAATCTAACATGCAGGTTAAATTACATCTCATTGTCATTATTTTGCGATTTCAACGGCAATTATTAACATTCAGCTTGTCTATTTAGTTAATGAAACTTTTGTGTTAGTTGAATTCATATAATTTGTGACAGAAAGTTTTGACTTGGGGGGAATACGTAGGAAGATATCATAGGAGGTAGCTTTCTATTTATACTTTTGAAGTTTTTTGTATGTGTTACGAATATCAATGGACTTTTTGATCGCGTAGAGCGATCACCTTGGCGTTACCTTCAACTCTCAATTAGTTTACTGAGGACCTGCCTTTGTACTAATATCTTTTGTTTTGTACTTAATGCTATCTGAGTTCATTTGTTCTTAACTAGTAGGTTTATGTGGCGACTGGCAAAGTCTTGAGAGATGTTAAACTTTTAAAGATATCGGCGTCAAATTGAAGATTCGGCTCTTTTCCGTTAAATAGAATCGCACCTTTCTATTTTCTTTTCTGGTTTGGTGTTCCCAACTGATGTCGCAATATTGAATTGGCTGTAACTAATGCATTTTTAGCAATTCCTAGTACATTCCACCAAACACATGGAAGAAGTTTCTGAAGGGTCATCCCCGATTCGCCTTAGTTGATGGAATGCTCTATTTAATTTGCAACAAACGCTGTTCTTCCCCAGTTCTTGTTCTTAGTAGTCATTTGGTGTAAAGCGGACGAATTCTTTGCCTTGGCAACAAAGAAATGAGCGCTTTTCTCCGCTGAACTTAGCTAAGCTGAGAGAGTGCAAATTCGAATGTAATTGCACAATTGGGCATGGTCATGTTCGTTTCTGCAATAATTCTGTTTCAAAATGTGCAAGTTTTCCTGATTTTCCCGCACTCAACGCATTTATACTTAGTAAAAATTTAGCATATTCCAAATTACTTATTGTACTCTGTCTGTAAATTAGTATTTTCTAGTCTAAAGTGATGTGTCAACTGAATTTTCTCTGTTATACTAAATTAAGCCCTTCTTGACCTACCTATAACTCACATTTGAGCGGGGTTTTCAATTTTGGCTTAGGTTATTTATACTATCTATGCTATTGTATTGATGAAAATGTACCACTCTAAGTGGCATCACAAAAGTGACCGACTTTTCTCTTCAGGTGTTGTTCACATCCGTGCTGTTTGTTCCTTTCTAGAACCATCTTTTGCTGGTGTTGTTTCTTTTACCCTTTAGGGAATTTATTTTTGCATTTAGAGATTCCACCTTAATCATTACCCAGATTGGTCTTTGTTAGGCAACTAAATTTCGGATATGTATATTATTTTCTGGATCACACAAAATATCTGCTTTATGTTGATTGAAATTTCACCAGGCTCTGGGTCTACAGACGTCTCTGTTATGGTTGGTTTACACTTCATCAACTCGGGTGCGATATTTTTCTGCGCTTAAACGAATTTGGACGGTTTGTGCTTTTGAAAAGACCAATGATGCAACCCATCACTTTTGAGAGTCAAGCAACTGCTAACTTCATCAAATACCTTCAGAATTCTTAGAAACGGCATTTTGGCATGTAAAAGACTCTTGGCGCAACTGAAGTTGCCCAGAAATACTGACTTTAAAATTGATTACAAGATCATAAGTACTTTTATTAGAGAATCTTGGGGTTATGATATCGATATGGTTCTGCATGCATAGCCTCGCCTGATGTTCATGGCATGAATCATCAGGAAAGTTTATCAATACAACATTTATGGCATATGCGCTCCAACTTTATGCAATCTTAAATTAATCCCAGGCTGTGAACTCAGATAAGCGAATGCCATCATGCCGTCTTTATCAATTAATTGCATTATCCGCCTGGTTTATAAATAATAATGACCTCATACCTCCAAATATGGAAATTGTTATGCTTTGATGTCTAAAATTATTATTGCGGAATTAATCGCACCTGTTGTTCTTTCCTTCTCCGTATCGATTGTATGCCATATCTCGTTAGGCCAATGTGATGATCTATTCTCCTTATAAACGACCTCCCATGTTCTCTATGTTATCGTATTTATTCAAATATATGAATTCTTCTCTGCCCTATTAAGAGGTATCCACTTATATGGTATTATCGGGTCTCTCATACGCTGTGCTTGAAATATATGATCATATAACTTTCTTTATATGTGTTCTTTGTTGCTAGATTGTGCGATTCTTGGTCAAACAGGGTGCAGATGTGGAGACTCCCAACAGACATGAGCACACTTGCCTCATGATCGCTTGTTTCCGCGGACACGACAATATTGTCAAGTTTCTTCTCACTCAGGGTGCTCGTGTGAACCGTCGATCTGCCAAAGGTACGCTTGACTACCATTTAAGTGATATATCAAAATAGGGTTCATTTTATTCGACTTATATTCTCGCACGCTTTTGCATTTGTGGTTTGTAATTCCCGCCCTATTGCTTAATGACAACGGAGTTGTGATGTCCTGTGCTCACTTAAGCAAGCTCTAAGTAATGTTTCGTTTTTTTATTTTTGTTAGGCAATACGGCGCTACACGACTGTTCGGAGAGCGGAAATCTGCGTTGTCTCATTCTTCTCCTCAAACATGGTGCAATTATGCGTGAGGATGAGTTTGGCCAAACACCCGTCTTATCTGGAGCAAACTCTGCCTACAGAAAGGTGTTTTGGTTACCTTATCTTGTTGTTACTTTGCTCAATGCAATCTAACTGAATATTCCTGCAGGTTATCTTTCAGAGCCTATGCCTGCTAGCACACTATTGGGTTCAACTTTCCCACTGTCTGATGAAGGAATTGTTCATTGATTCCCATTGGTCATTGGCCAACTAGTTTATTTTTAATTCATCCATTTCCAAATGCTCCAATTTTTGTATCTTCAATCTTTTCGATTATGCAAGCCTCGGAAATCACTCGCTAAGGTCAAATAGTGAACAAAAATTGGTTAATTCGAACTTATTGTGATAAAATAGTTACAAGTTGATGGGAAAAAATTGTTTTCGGTGTTAGCATTTACGAGTTTGAATCGAAGGTTTTTTTTAAATCAGGTCCTTCCGATTCTTTTAATGCCAGCCTTGAATTTCTAAATATGTGTAAACTATTTGATAAATTAATCCAGTTGGGTGTTTGCTAGACAACTGCGATTAACAATGGATGATATGTGATTATCTTGTAAAATAATGTTCATACTATGAGAAGATCATACAGTGTTATTCGATTCGTTCTTGCTTATTTTGAATTATTTTACCGTGGTCCTAATCCCTCTTTCAATTTTTCAGATTGTAGACTACCTCTGCGATATGCGAACCTCAAGTGGAGAATTCGCAATCCCAATTGAAGAGCAAGCTGCAGCTCACGAACTTCTCGGCGCATCTTTCCACGATAGGTAGGTTGCTTATTACCCTCTTCAGCAGTTCTCATCACCCTGACAAGATATTAAAATAAATGCTACTGATTACAAATAAGTAATTGTGGCTTACATATAGACAATCAAGAGTTCGGGATGCGGTGGCCTCCTGGCAATATGCAATGAATCTGCGTCAAAGGCATTTCGGCTACACGAAACGCCTGCCTCCTGTTAGAAAAGGTGCTTTAAATCACTACGCCTGGAGTCTTATTAAACCTATTGCCCAAAATGCCGTTACTAAGGAGATTGTTCGCATGAAAAAGTCTAGAGAACGTCGCAATGCTATTCTTGGTGTAATCGATAAGAATTGCCTTCAAAAACCGCCAGCTCCTCTTCCATCTTCGATTTCAGATGATTCCATTTGGTCCAGAAAGTGAGCTAATACCGATCTAAACTCAGTATCATCAGCTGAAAATAATCAGCACATTTCCATCTAGATTTCAATTGATGGAACAGCATTTAGCTGAACAATATGAGCGTTTGCTGAATAATACTCTTAAAACGGAGGATTTCCGATATTCTAGTAGGAAACAGAGCGACTCTAAGTCTATGAATCTGAAAGTTAGTTATGCGGCAGACGCCATTTTTGGGATTGAACCCGAATATCTTCGAAACTCTTCTCGTCACATCAGACGACCATTTGAAGGTCTTTCAGGTATAAAAGCGATGCATTTTCAATATTTACTCGATATAATTCGTTTGTACCATCAGGTTGAATTTATTACGATAGGGTATTTATATTCTTGTATTTATAAGTTGACTTAAGTAGTAAATACTTCTGTCTCTTTTTTCCTTTATTTTCATAAAAAAATATTTTAATGTCTTTGCAACTTCTCCGTTTTTTCGATACTTAGAATCTAGCATAATTCAATACCAGAGGCCTTCACTAACCCCTTCCTATACCAATTCCTTTCTAAGTGTCACATTTTTTTTAATTTTACGATTTTAAAGTTATGTTTTTAAGCTCAATCGCTTTCGTTGGCAATGTACCAATTTTTGTATATTGACAGTTTGTCCTTTTGTGCTCACTTTCTCACCATCCCTGTGCACTTATCTTGCTTTCTCGCATCTAGGGTTTCACTTTTCCTAGCTCCCTGACAATTACGTTTAATTGATGCTATCTTATCAATTAAATCTCCTTAGAACTTACAATCTCCCTCTAGAGTAAGAGGATACAGCAACTTCTCCGAAGTAGAGTACTGAGAATTGAGCAGGAAATCGAGCTATTTTTAATTTGAGAAAGTGATGAGGAATCTTGGAGATTAGATGAGATGCTCTACTCAGCTAATTGTTTTGGCGTTTGGGCTAATTTAGCCTCCTAACGCACTTTATAGTATTAAACTTTCACTAACCGTCTTCTGTAGTTAAATTACATTTAGTTATTGTATTAGGGGTGTGCGATAGACTTACCTCCCTGGGCAACGTATGCTCATAGGACAAAAATGTCTATAAACCACCGGCTGACTGTTGACCTCAAACTACCATCACCCAACTGTATGTCATATTCAACCACTTCTACAGTACTCACCTCACCTTTTTTCTACCTTTGTGTCTGTCTCCTAAATCTTTGAAACACTATTCTGTTCCACCCCCCCCCCTCTCCACTTTTTTTCGCTTTGATGTTCCTTCCTCTTTGTGAAGCTTGAAATCAACTAAAGGGCTAATGATAACTATCAGAACGCCTGCCAATTGATATAGAACTAAAATGGTTATTGTATTATATTTTTTGACTCATAACAAATTCTCAACGGTCATTTATTGTATTTCCAGACGACGTTCCTGCACATGAAATGCCCCCACCTGTCTCCCATGACGAGTACATCCAACAATATTTTTCAGCTCCTGAAGTAAGTTTTAATTTTTCTTTTCACACCCTCTCAACTCCTTATTAATTTATTGCCCACCTGCAATGTAATTCTAATGAGCACGGACCTTTCCACGGACCTTATTTAACAGAATCAGGCGAACCGATGGATGGCTGATCCCAATGATTTCTTCGATGCAGTTGAAACAGAATTCCGGTCTGAGGAGGAGTCAGAACGTGGATCCCCCCTCACATCAGAGGAGAGAGATGAGGCGTCGGAATTGATCCGGCGAATTCAACGCTACAGTTATGCAACATTTGGAAATGTGCGGGAATTCGCTGATGCCAGTGAACTCAAGGCCGTGCAACGAGATAACTTTGTTCTCCAACTTCAACCTCTCCTTATCAGACTACGCATTCTTGGACCCGATCATCCTGACACCATATACTTCCTTCGGTAGGTCTTTGTTTTTTTGGTTATTCAGTCCTTACATTGATTGTTACTTCTTCCAATATTGCGTTTATAGATAGATTTTTGTCTTATCTACATTCTTTTAAAGATTTTGTTTGCCATGCTTCTTTACTGTCCTTTTTTAATTAAACGAAACGGCAACACGCCGAGACAAATTAATGGAGGTTCCATGAAAATCTTTTATTTTCGCCGATCTCCCGTTTCTAAAATACCTAATAGACGACTACTATGTCTAAAAATGAAAATTTGCATTCCATAGAAATTGGAACGAAAAGTGTGTTATGGGGAGTTCGTATTTTGTGCTAATGTTCGCGGAAAGTTGGCATCGCTTAAGCACCTTCGATTGGAACCTTTTCTCGGGCTTAACAATCATTAGGACTTCAAGTGTTTAATCCCCGATTGCTTGACATTTGAAAATGGCCGGGTAGTTTAAATAGCACTTGGGGGAATATCATCCTCAGATTTACTTTCATTCTCTTCAGAGGAAATTTTTGATAACGCAAATCAACTGGGCCGATTTCTGGACTGTTTTGTGAATGTATTAAATATGTGCACTTTTCTCTACTACATCGCTTGCACTTTTACTGCCGTCTTTACTTATAAACCGCCGTGCATGCTAAAATCTGTGACTGAAAACAAACAGAAAGTGGATATTCATGGTTGTGACCACACGAACTAACCACCAATCTCATATCTATGAGTTGTATCGATGGATTTGATGAACCAAGGTTTCTTTACAACTGGCCAGAAGTTTATTATGCAGCAGTGCAACACCTTCTGAATATTATTTATTTATTAATTTTTAACAAATGGCAGGCGTTTTGATAGTTATCATTAGCCTTTTAGTTGACTTCAGGCTTCACAGAGGGAAGGAGGAGGAATATCAAAGTGAGAAAAATTCGGGAGGAGGAATGGAAGAGTGATTCACAAATGTAAAAGAAACGGACAGGCACAAAGCCTCAAAAAGGGTAAGATGAGTACTGTGATAGGGGTCGAATATGACATCAGTGGGGGTGATAGTTGTTAAAAGTGAGAAGTCAACTGCCGGATAATAGACTTTTTTTGCCGTTTGAATATACGTTGCCCAGTGTGCACCACGTGGAGGTAAGTCTATCCCACACCCCCCTTCTGAATATACTTTAGGCTTAATTGATCCAAACGTTTTAAATTTGTTTGACAGCTACCGCGGTGCAACGTACGCGGACGCAGTTGCAATCACTCAGTGCCTTGCCTTCTGGCACTACGCAGTCGAACTTCAAAGGTCTTTCCTTGAACCCCTCTCCTACGTCTCACAATCGTCTTTCCTTGCCCTCGTAGAACTTTACAATCTCATCCTCACAAATCGTTATATGGGTCTTCGCGCTATTAGTTTCCATCCCTCTCTCCTAATTGATTCTCTCCAGCTTGTTGTTGACAACATTGAAAGGTAACTATGAAGTCTCACTTATTTTCATTTTCGAAAAAACAACTATTAGCTCTTTTACATAAGTGCTGTAAATATACATTTTAACGCCTTTGTTTTTGTTTTAGAGGGATGGAATTCTCCTACGCCTTCTGGAATGGTCGGACACCTTGGGCGTACACAAGTGCAGACAAGGAAGCGACAAATCTTCATCGCCACGTCACACACTGTCTTCACTTTATAGCCCTTCTCTCCTACTACTTCTGTTCACCTTCATCTCGACCTCCTCCACTGCACCGTCATCGATTGGCTTCTCTACGACGTTTGAGCAACCTTGTCCGTCATTTTTATATTTGTCTATTTATATGGAATATTTTTAGTATATTTAAGTTAATATTGCTTTTATCGGTTTATACCAAGGCGAATGTTGAAGAAAACTTCCCAAATTTCCCTTGGAGTTATATATTTTTTCGTTCAGTTGGCCTATGTTAAGCTACTTCTAGTTTATCTTCACTATCTTTCGCTGATGTGCTAACGATGGTCTACTTAGTTGAATATCAGTCACGTGGCATCTTGGTTACAGATTTTATGGGTCATAGTCGATTTGCCATTTCTATACTATTGAGAAATAGGATTGAGTAGTTGGGATGGACTAAAATAACTAACGTCTGAGGTTGAAAAGTCTTCCTCACCGATATTTACACTGATTAAATGCCAGCAAGTGTGTCTCAAATTTCCTTTCTTCTATCATTATTTCCATCCCATAAGTTTTTTGTAACCTAATGGAGACTGCGTACTACATCATGAGGGGGGGGGGAGGGAGAATGCGTCTTATTTCGGTCAAGTCGTATTTTATATTATCTTGATGGTCGAGACGTCTCAAAGGGAACCCTGCGCATTATACTATCCAATATCATTCACAGTCGGGCAGTCGAGGGTACTTATATTTCCTCCTAATGGTCCCTCAAATGAATTGTCTTTTAGCTAAAGCACTTCAATCTTTCTACTAAAAAACGATGTAGGATGCGGGTCAATTGAATTGCTACCCGCTTAAAAACCGTGTTTCATTTTCCCTTTAGGATTCAAATGTCGAGGCTGGACAACACTTGCAACAGTCTCCCAATCCCATATTCTCTGGTGTCTTTCCCCTACTGAATACAGCCTCAGGCACAGCTGCCGACTTGGGGTTTACAGCTGTTCCCAACTCGAATGAGGAGTCGCAGACATCTTTCGCCTGGAGCATGTACATCCCCTCGGAGACTGAGCATGCTCAGTTGCGCAGTAAAATGACTCCTGAGTTATTCAGGCAGTTCTGTTTTCAGGTTAGGGCGAATTATTAGTGGCACTTGAAACATCTTGTGCGTTATAAAGTGAGAATAGATTTGGTAAGATAATTCAAGTGGATGGTGAATAAGGTGCGAAGGAAGTAAGGAAAAGTGCAATGCTTCACCAAAATACTGCATTCAATAGATTGTCTTATGAGACTTTGTAAAGTTCGTTGTGGAGGTCAAACTTTATAATTCAGCTTTTGAATTTCTGATCGTATTTTTTTTTGAAATCCAAATTATCCGGGCTTGTATATTAGTCCACTTCCACATTGTTCGGTAATGATGAACTAGATAGTCTATTTACAGTACTAGTTTTCTCTATTTATGGATAATATTGAAGTGCTTAGTTGCTTAAAACGATGATTCACGGCGTCCTTTAAAGTCTAGAGGTTCAAAACATGAAATTGAGATTGAAGAATGTAGTCACCCATCGAATCTATGAATTGAGGCTAGTGTCATTCAATGAATCGAAGCACGCAAGAAAGGTGGCCACTGCATCAACTTCGGTATGACTGGGATTGATATCCGGTGTCTTTAGGTATGTTTCTTGATCATTCCTGCCATAAACTTTAACGCTTCGGTGGGAAAGTGGGGATGCTTTTTACTCTGAAATAGATGGGCTTGGCTTTTGCTGCACCCTGCGTGATTTTATTATCCTCTTGATGGGGATATTGGTATTGATAGATCCGAACTTTAGCTACGTCGCCATATCAAGACATTTTATTTTCGCCTAAAGCGACATTATTGTTTCTGTTTAAGGTAAATCGTTTGATTCGCCTTGATCCGCGTGTTCATGAGGGCGCAAGCCTAATGCATCTAGCCGCAACAACATCTCGCCTCACTCGCTTCGAGCTCTTTCCCCTTCCCCACGCTGACCTACTTCGACTACTCGCAGCCCTGGGAGCAGACCCCAACTCTGTGGATGCCAATGGTTATCGTCCACTGGGCCGTATTCTCACAGCCACCCACGTTGTCTCCGACACTCAAAGGGCTAGTCTCATCTCCACTCTTGTTCTCGACTGTGGCGCGCATTTTGATGCCTCTGTTATGCCGCTTTCATCGTCAGAGTCGGAAGAGGAAGAAGTAGGGAATGATGATGAAGATAATGTCACTATCTCGGTTGGAACACTCTACAACAGTGAGGTAGAAGGCGAGTTGAGTATTCGACCTCTTTTTGAGTCTTCAAGGTTAGTTATCCACTTTGCTATCAATACCGCGGAGTTACTGTTTATCTTTTCTCTTTTTTTCTTCGAGGGTTCTAGTAGAGGAAAAGTATTTAAGATCCACTCTTATGGGAAATGGACATTCTGTGTGTATCCTTTTGGGGACTGGAGTTCATTACTACGACTGACCAATAGCATCATTGAATGAACATTGATCTTGTAACCGAGAAGAAGTATTGAATTTCCATTAGATGAATATACGTGCAATAAAACATATAGAATCAATGGCCAATGCTGGAGTGTTTCTCCACTCTTCTGTGGGTAGATTCAAAGTTGGCGACACAGATCGATTTGAAAATGATTTAATGCCATTGCATCAACACTAACTATTGTTGTTCTCTAACTGAAAGTCTTATTAATAAGGTCTGTCTTACACCAATTATTTACCATTCAACAGAAGTAACAAAATTCAGTCGCAATGAACTGAGGGCGAATTTTCAACAGGTGCGGTAGAGAGTATTTGCGTTGATTAGTTGGCCACTGTAGAACATTTGTAGTTAGTTGCTCTTTTTATAATTCACTGAATGAGGGTTGCTTTTCCATTGAAGCGACATTGTTAGTTTGTTAGTTGCTAGTCAAGAACATTAATGTATTTATTTTGTTATTGAATTTCAGCTGCGTGTCATAGTTGTACCAATTGCATAAGTTTAAATCTTAAAAGGGCGCTATTTTCTGTTTAAAGGATTGACGATGAGGCGTTGAGAATGTACAAAGAGAGGAATACTTGGCCTTGGTCAAATGTGTGTAGACGTATACTCTCTCTTACATCGTTGAAGCCCCTTCAACATGTCAATTTGGCATGTCTCGCTGCTCGGGCAATCCCGCCTTCACTACACACTCGTGTGCCTCCTCATTTGGAGGATTTCGTGCGAATGCACCACCCTCAACCCACAAAGTCCTTCCACCGGCACATTGGTTCTCATGAATGGGCATCAGATGATTAATTTTTATTGCTACTCCTACCATAATCGATATTTCGCTCTTAATGCTTGTAAAGTTTTAAATTGGTATTGTTACTACTACTTTTAACTAGTGCCATCTGAAGCGATGCTTTTACCAGATTGCATTTTCATGGTGTCTTAATGCTTATCAACTTGCGGGGGCCATGAAGGCGAGCATTCAAAGGGGATAGCAAATAAATACAAACTTTTATTATCCAAAATATAAATACCAATTGCTTCCGATGATATTGACAAAGATAGTTAAAATAAAATTTCGTTTTTTTGGTCACTTGTGTCCGTGTGAGGTTCGATTGTCTCCCATTGTTTGAGGTGGCTGTTGCAGAGGACGTGGAGGAGGAATGGATGGTGGACGGTAGCTAATGGAATCATCATCGATTTCAATTTGAGCTCTGCAAGCCTCTTCATAATCAGGAGGTGCGGCTGAATCCGTTTCTGAAGTCTATCATGGCATAAAATGAATACATGTAAATTATTTCTACTTAAAAAATATCAGTAGAACTCTATCGTACGTGCGCTTGCACCGAAGGACATCCACCTTGTTCATGATCTTGAAGACGTGCTTTTCGAGTCATTTTGATGCAGAAGCATACGTTGATCACAATAAAACCCAATCCGAAGATTAGTCCAATGCAGCTCATGGCGTAGCCTGTGTTGATCATAAATCTAAAAGGGCAAATGAAATATCCATGACAACAAATATGAGAATTGGTTATGTATAATTTGATTTTTGATTCAATTCTTCTCTATAAAGGTTACAGAAACAACAATTTTAGACTGTTAGTGGCTCCTTTCCCATTATTCTAAATAATAGGAGAAATAATGCGACTTGCAATTATGTCAATAACTTCTAGATGAAATTGGTTAACAGAGATTTAGCTGTATAATTTTAATATTTGTCGGGAATTTTGCATCTTGTCTTAAATTTAGAACGTAGTGTATAATCCGGAAACTGCCTTGTTTGTCAATTTGCCAAAACTAAGGGGAAGAAAACGCTTGTAATGGGATTTCTTTGAGCTTGAAGGTAATATTCGAACTTGATTTATCGTAAATCTTTGGCGTTGGGGTACAAATGGGGATAGATGATAAGCGGAGGAAATAAGCAGATATTCGAGCATTCCTTTTGTTCTACCTTTTCTTCATTGTAAATTAGGTAGAGAGGTGAATGTTGTCCAATAATGGAAGGTCCCATTTACTTTTATTGCCTAAATTGAGATCACCTTAAATGAATACTTGTAAGCACTGGTGCGTTGAAAGAATTCAAAACCATCATAATTATTTGGCATTCGTAATAATAAAGAAGTGGTAGATAGAAAAATTCACATTTGTTAGCCCCTTCACAGAGCGTGGGGAATTACGCACAACGATTTCTCCCTTAAGTGAAGGGTCGAAATAGAGCACCTTGAAATGCGAGGCAGTGAATAAAAAACAAATTAGAGCATTTTTGATGTTGATGTCCTTTTAAGCTAAACTTTTCCCAACCCCGTCTCTTCACTTCTCATTGGACTTGTGCTGTCATACGGTTTCATGAAGAAAAGGAATATAATTTAATAATTCTCTGAGACGGTCCTCATTAATTGTTCTCTTGAGCGACTTTGAATTTACTATAGATCACTGGCGGTCTTACTTCATTATCGGCACATTGCAAAATTCTATTTGTAAAGGTTAATTGTGCGTTTCTACGAATGGGTGGCTATTTAGTTCCAAAGATAGCATCATGGAATGGATCTTTTCGCTTAACCGCCCTGGGCGGATTTTCGCAAAATCCCAGTGGTAACATTGTAATTTCAGCTAAGGAAAGCACTTTCATGTGGGCTTCAATAGCCTACAAGGTACATCTTTACCAATTGTGAGCAAGTGCGGGTGAGTACAGGGACCTCCCAGCCAATCATCATTCAATGGCTTTGTGGCAGTTAGCCATAAGTTGCTATTCACTCCTTACGTTCTCTGACCTCGAGATGACTTAGCAATTACATACTGGGGGGATTGTGCCATAGAGGAATGTTGGGCTTTTGTCAACTTTCTTATTGTAGTATTCACAATATGGATCATTAGTCCTGGGTTACAATAATATGGAATAATGAAAATTTTATTTTAAAATTTCTAATTGGAGTTCAATTAGGATTAAAATCATTTTGATTTTTTTTCAACCTAAAAATTAGTTTCACATTTCCAATCTTTCTTCATCTGAACCTCAAAGTTATGCTCACTATATTGAACAACTAATCACCCTTCTTTGCTCAGCCAGTAATTTCATTTGCATCACGCATTTCGATCAATAAAAAATAGCGAGAGTTCTATTAACTTCCGTCTTATAGAAATAGTCTCACAATTTTGCGTTGTTGCCTTGTTTAACATTGGGGTAATGATTACCTTTAGTATTGTGCGTTATTACTAATTTAGTTGAATTTTTACAGAAGCTCTATTTGAATATTCGCATCACAGATATTCAAGTGCATATTATTTTCTAAGTCGATATCTTGCGATATCTTAACCAACAAATAAACAGAAAATTTGCCACAAAGTCTATTTTAGAGCGTATCTTATTTCATATTTGTTTATACAAACTCCAATTGATGCCATTCGTTTCATTCATTAGTAACTGCACACTACTCATAATTTTGTGAAGTCCAACGTCATGATCTAGTTGGCTAACGCAGTATATCCAATGAACCAACTGATCAGCCCCTATGATTAAGTCCGATTAGTGAAAAGTATAGCAGCATTTGAGAGTTCTGCTGCGCTCTAATCGCAGGTGAAAAAAACGTCTTCCAAAACCGCCTCGGAGGCATTACAGCTCCAACAAGTAAGAACTCAATGTCAAATGTCCTTTGAGAGTAAGACTAACCGTTTGAACCATCGTTCTTCTTCACAAGCCTTTGCAATGTCCGGTCGGGATTGGAGTAGTAGGTCATCCGTGCATTTTTCCGAGGGTTCCACTTTGGTAAACATCAGGCGGGTTCCCGAAACAACAAAAATAATGCAGAAGAAAAAGAGGATAAGGGAGAGAGCGACCCAGGCGTATTTTTTGCAGTCCACTAACCCCAGTAATGGCGATGAATTCTCTTCAGGCATTTTTTGAAATGAATTTACTAAAAGATTTAAAATAGACGGGAAATTGTGAAGTTATTGAAACTTTAATGTTGAAATGAAATGTATCTTTATTTTAAAACTTTAATTTTTCTTGTTTTGTTTGTAACTAATCAATTGAACTCCCAATATAATCGATTTGGACAATTCACTAAACGAAATGTATATTCAAGTTATTGGGGTATGTGATAGACTTACCTCCACGTGGTGCACCCTGGGCAACGTAAACTCATAATACAACAAATTCTATTAGCTGGCAGTTGACATCTGACTTCAAACAACCATCATCCCACTGTATGTCATATTCGACTACTTCCACAGTACTCACCTCACCATTTTTCTACTTTTGTGTCTGTCTCTTTTACATCTTTGAAACACTCTTCTGT